GTACACCATTAGTAGAAATATAAATTGGTTTATCCACTATGGGAAATAGTATAGACATTGCCCAAAAAATTAAATTTAGTATTGACTTGAAATGCAGCAAGCCCACTTCTAAGTATGTACCTATATCCAAAGGAAATAAAATCTCCAGAGATATCTTCCCCTCTATGTTTACTTTTCCAACACCATCAAAGACACTACCATTCACCTAGCTGTTCAAGTCAAAAGCAAGTTGTCCTTTAACATTTATTGTTATCATCACTTAGTCTCACTTCCACTTGCTGCTTTTGCAGGTGTGTATATGTGCATGGATGGGTTTCATACATTGTGTTTGTTTTTCACTCAAAGAAACTGTTTTGCTATTCAGCATGTGAATCCCAGTTTTCCTTTAAAAACAATGTGTTCAGAGTCAAGCCCTGAGAACCTAACTCCTTTCATTGTCGTTAGTCTGAAACCAACAGAAACACTTACACTTGAGTCCTGCCTTGACCATAGGCAGTGGGAAGGAGTTTGTCTCCTTGCCTACCGTCTACTTCCTCCTACACAACTCAATATTCCACGCTCTGTATTCTCACCCACCCAATATCCTACTTGGCTGGTGGCTCTTGATAAGGCTGGCGATAACTCCTAACTGCTGAATCTAAGGGATTCACTCTATACCGAATCATACAGGAGCTCTCTGCTCATTGGAAATTATTAAATCATTCCTGCCCTGGTGGGTCCTGCAGCCTCTGCTCCCTGCTTTACCCCCACTCCTGGGGATGAAAGGCATCAGACTTCTTTGGCTGCTCCCCTTGCAGACTCCACCCTAAGTCCTCTTTTCATTCTACATCCATGGTTCTTTTTTTCCCCTCAAGAATCTATTGGGCACTCTTCTCCAAAGAGGGGGGAGAGGTGGAGGCTATATTCTTGAACACACATGGCTTTAAGTGGTAAGTAATTTTAAGTAATTTCACTCTGACTCTAAATTAAGGTCTCTCTTCTGCTTTCTCAACCTGGGGGCCAACCTCCTTGCAGGCTTCCGGTATCACCCATATGTTGATGATATTCAAATGTGTGACTTGAACAGCAGCCATTCTCCAGAGCCCTAATCTAATACCCCAATTTCCAATCGCTGTTAATACCAAAATACCTTATGCCAGTCCCAAACTGATAGGACTATCTCACAATCCCTGTCTGATTTCTCCTCCAGGTGAAGGATATTTCCATTCATCTCATTCATAAAAGGGGAACCTGCTCTTCCTTTTCCACCACTTGGGGCTTCCCAGGCTCCAGTCTTTCTCATCACATCAGATTATTGGAGGGGTCTTCTTTGTGGTCTGCCTGTCTCCCATACCCCCCTTCAACCCCATCTTCCCCCTGCAGCTCCATTTATCCTTACTGATCTCTCCATTGGTTGACAGTGGCACTTCCTCAAAGTATGTCATGTAATCAGTGTTACATGAACAGAAACATTTTTGTGATCAATGAAGTTGGAGAAAAGAGTAAAAATGAGTCAGGTTTAGCTGCTCCTCAAAGTTTTTCCACATACTCTCCAACTATAGGTTAAGTCATGAGGCCCTTTGTCAAACTTTGTAGCAAAGACCCCGTGGAATATAGTTGGCTTTCTTGTCCACTTCTCTCTCTACCCCATTTCCGGCTACTAGTCTTGATCATGTAGACCAGCAGCAGGTGGACCTCTGGGCTCAGGAAAACTGAGGTTAAATTCTCAGCACAAGACTCCTGGTCAAGTGATATAATCTCTCAGAAGATATTCTGGGTGCTCTCCATTTACCCCTCAGGAGGCTGACCTGAAAGGACTGTATCATCTCGGTGCCCTATTCTCTGCCTTCACATTGGGCTTGGACAGTGGAAAGGAGTGGAGGCCAGTGGTGAGAGCAGAAGAGAGGGCAGGGTGTCCATCCTCCCATGCTCTGCACTTCACTGTGCAGATCCTCTCCTGGCTCCAGTTCGTGTTCTGGTTAACCCTCCTGTCCCCTTAGACAATGGCTTCCAGCTGCTGCAAATCCCTGGAGGTTTCACCATCACTTGTTAGTTCCTTCAACTCTATTCACACCTCTGTAAATAATCCATTTCTTAATTTGTCTTCCATTAAATCCCCTGTGTATGCCATCTGTTTCCCGCTGGATCCCTGACAATACAGAATTTTGCTCTCTTTATGAAATGGGGATAGTAACACCTCCCTCAAGGGGCTGTTGAGAGCATCAATGAAAGCACATGAGCATAAAAGCACCAAGAGCAGAGCCTGAAGCACAGCAGTGCTCACTAATTAAGAGGTGACGTCCTTCAAGCTGCTCCTTTTTGCCTCCAACAAGTCACCTACTCAGGGATCTTACTGCTCCTTTGCCAGGGACCCAGGTGGAGGTGGGAAGAGAAAATTAATGCCAGACCCCAGTCTGAGGATACAAAGCTGCCACGAGCACAGGCTCCAGTGATCTGCCACACAAGGGGGCTGACCCTCAGGTCCCATTACAGGACCCTGGAACAGAGGGCCCTAACAAGGACTGGAACAGCAAGGTCAGGGCGGCCATGTGCGCAGCATTCCTCTTGGAAGAAAGCTGGCTCTGTACTGGATCCAGATGGTCTGTGCCCCCACACTGGCTGATTGTTCCCCAAGGAGGAAATCCTTCCAGTTCCAAATCCATTCGTTGCTTGCATATTACAGTGATCAACTAGCTTGGAATGAAGCTCCGCGGGAGGGGGGCAGAAAAGGGGGTGTAGCTATTTGTTAGAGGAAGTCACTTGAACCAGGTTACCAGCATATTTTTTAACAGGTATAAGTTGTGAACATGTAAAAAAGGTGCTAATTGATCTATCTGAGGGAGTGGAGAAATATGTTAAGAGAATATTTAGTGAATCTGTAGGTCGGTAATCATTGATAATCACTTGAAATTTGCTCACTGTGAGCTTATAAAAGAGATTAGTGTATTGGATGTATTAAATAAGACAAGCTTCCCCTTGTGGAATGTAATCAGAATGCAATTTCATTTTGCTTTTTACCGCCCCTTGGCTGGGGGGGGCAGGCAGGGGGAAGGAAATACATTTATTTTTCTGTAATTTGAGTTTAGTTTGTACACTACACCTTCAGAAGGATTCAGTAGTTCTCTCCATGTCTCCTGAAAATGTAGGGACTTTTAAAAATGTCTTTAACTCCCCTCATCAGTGTAACTTGTCTATCGGCCTATTATGCTCCCCACTCTATCTCTGATGAATCCTCTCACCACCCCTGCACCCTCTGGCCTGTACCCCAGTTCTGTATGTGTAAGTAAATAAATCTTAAAAAAGAAAGAAAGAAAGGAAGAAAGAAAGAAAAAGAGAAAGAAAGAAAGAAAGAAAGAAAGAGTGAACACCTGCAGAAATGGGACACAGCAAAACTAAGTTTGAATGGGCTTATAATAGAGTAGATGGTAAGTGGTCTGCCAATGTCATGGGGTCTTGGGCATACCCAGGCTATCTAGGGATGAGGAGAAATGACTTGAATAGCATAGGATGTTCTGACTTCGTGCAGCCCACCAATAGGAGAATGGGTTTTTACTCTCTACAGCGTAGTGTAAATGCAAGCTTAGAGGTGGAAGGTGAAATAGAGGGTATCACATGATAGTCACCAAATTCAATGTCTCAATTCTCTAGGCCACTCTCTATATCATGCTATATAACTGACTGAGGCAGAGCTCCAAGTTTATATAGAACTGCAGACCTGAAAGAATGGTGAGAAAGCAAGTCTCAGCAAATCTTCCAGGTCAAGTGAGGACACAGGTGGATTATGAATGGCATTCAAGCAACTGGGCTGAAGCTACTTGAGAGGGCAGGCTGTGAAGGAGACCCTTGAGTACTTGGGGTTTTGTTTTGTGTTGGCCGGGGTGGGTGTGTCTAGGCGGAGAGGACAGTAGTCACAGACCCTCCATTTGATGCCACACTTTTTAGTTCCCCTCCCTACCTCTAGACCCACTGGTTGGAGACCCTAGTATGGTCCACAGAATAATGACTCATCAGTGGTGCCTGATGATGAGGTAGGGAGACTATCCCGAATTACCCAGCGGGTGGACGTAATGTTACCCATGGGTCCTTGTAAGAAGGAGGGCGGCACGTCAGAGTCAGAGAAAATGTGACAGTGGTAACAGAGGTCCACCTTGCACCTAGTAACCCTACTTGGCAGCAGGGTCTAAAGTGCAGGAAAAGAATCTGTGATGTGAGGCCTCCCTGGTGGTGCAGGGGTTAAAGTTTGCACTATCAAGCTATTGCCAGCCACTGAGGCACGAGTGGGAGTTCGATCCCCTGGCCAGGGAGCTGATCCACATGGCACAGCAGATTGCTCCTGTCTTACCCGCTGCTCCCCTCTGCAGCATATTCCAGTGAATCTGCCTGTTCTGCTTCCCACTCTTGTCTCTGGTGGATCATCTTACACCCCTATACCTCTGGCCTATACCCCAGTTCTTGTATGCAAAAAAAAAAAAAAAAAAGACAAGACTCTGTACTGACTGGAACTCACTGCCTTCTGGAGGGTGTTGGCTCCTGAATGAACAAAGGAAAAGACCACCTCACTCCATGCCACATGCTTCATAGAGTCCTGAGAAACACAGTGTGGGGTCAAAGAGTAATTAGATATAATTGTGCAGCCATGAACTATGACAGCACGGAGCTAGAATGGTTCATATGTAAGCTATTGACTATAGTTAAGAAAAAAATTATTTTGTAAAAATTATTTACAAAAATTATTTTGTAAATGTGGAGATTCGATACATGAATCCCAGACCTACCCTTTCTAACCTCCAGTCTCTCTTAACCTTCAAACTTCACTTCATTTATTTTAGTGCCTGCTAGTTTTTAGAAGTATTTTGCTTGGTGGAATCATCTACTATGTAAAGTTTCAGTATGTTTTTGTTATGTGATTTATTTTCGCTACAAATAATCCCCTTTGAGTTCCTTCCATTTTGTCATAAATGGCAACATTTCATCCTTCCAAATGGTGAATGATCTTCCATGGTGTGGCTATACCACATCTTCTTGATTCAGTCTCTATCAATGGGCACTTCATTCATTTCCATGTCCTTGCTACTGTAAACAGCTCTGTAATAAATAGTGTAAGCATATAATAATTTTCTTGAGTTGATAGTTTCATCTTACTTGGTTAGTTGCCCAAAGGGATTGCTGGGTCATATGGTTCTTTTCTTTTTTTCCTGCCAGCACCACACTGACGTTACTTACTACAACTTCAAAGACTTGAAGCCCAGAAGTGTCAGTTCTCCAGCTTTGTTCTCTGTCACTATTGTGTATGTTGTGTGTTAATACCCTCCTATGTATTAACACATGTACTATGTCCTAAAAGTTTATTCTTAGTTGCAGACAACAGAATCTGCTCCAGCTTGTTTGACCAGAAAAGAACTAGTAAGATACTAGAGAATGCGGGAGCCAGGTTTGTTTAGAATATAGTTTAGAAAGCAGGTCTGGAGCCAGTGTCTGCTACTTCCGCACTATGTGATCTTGGACCATCTGCTGGCCATTGTGACTTGGTTTTCTTACCTATAAAATAAACGATAGTTCCTACCTTCCAGGATTATTGTGAAGATTAAATGAGGGAAATGAAAATGAACTTAGAAAAGAGGTTCAATTACCTGTCACTGTCTTATCAAATACAGTGAATACAGGATCAACAAAGAACAAGGCACAAGTGTGACATTAGCAGCAGTTGATGGCCAAGGAACACAACACACCAGAAATCTTCTGTCGGTGTCTGGATGCCAACCTGTGGACAAAGAAAGGGTGCCACTCTGGGATGGGGAGAACCTAGAATTAACTGGTTTTTTAATCTAAGGGGACTAAGAAATCACCAAATCACACTGAATTTCCCTAAATTGGGAACAGTCAAGCATTTGTATAAGTTGGGTTAGAGTCAAACACTGAAATCAAATTGAGTTTAGAATATAGTTGCATTTAGCACACCTGAGTCAGGTCTGTGAATAAGGTCAGCTACATAATTTTCAGGGTCTAGTGCAAAATGAAAATACAAACCCCTTGTTTAAAAATCAGCAATACTGTGCTATTAAAGGTACTAAAATATAATGTATTTTCCTTTCTTTCAAGGTCTCTTTTAATTTGCTACTTAATGTCATTTTAAGTAAAGAAAAATTAAAAGTTGAAGTTATGAGCACGATTTTACAATTCATCTTTACATAGTACACTGGCAGTTTTTAAAGCAAATTTAACAAAAGCTAATTCATCTGTGGAGTCACTGATATTACCCAATTCATATTTCATAGTTCATATATCAATATGAACACTTTTATTACTAGAACAGAGGAAAAACTATCCAAAATTAACTCAGGTTCATGACATACTCATTTTAGCAACACTCTGCCTTTGCCTTTTTTTTTTTTTTTAAAGATTTATTTATTCATACAGAACTGGGGTACAGGCCAGAGATGCGGAGGGTGAGAGAGTTCACCAGAGACAGAGTGGGGAGCAGAACAGGCAGATCGACGAAGTACACGGCAGATCGACTTAGTACACTGCTGAGGGGAGCAGCGGGCGGGTCAGGAGAGGTCTGCCACACCATGTGGTCACCTCCGGGGCAGGCGGGAATCGAACTCATGTGGAAGCGGCTTTAGATTCTCAGTGCTGTGCTTTAACCCGCTGCGCCACCAGGGAGGGCCTGCCTTTGCCTTTTTAATGGGTATGGAAGGACTGGAGGAAAAGTTACTATGGATTGCCTGATTTTGCCTTTTCCTCTACAACCATAGACTACACCATGTACTCACCTGGAGGCTGGCTAAAGATCCATGAGTCTTGGGCCTATCAGAACTGTGTTCATGGTGAGGGGGGTATGGGTACAAATGATCCATGCAGATGAGGTGGTCAGGGAAGGGAAAAAAACGTGTAAATATCTCCTCTGCACACACTTGTTTTACGGTGCTATAGATGATATTACTGGGTTTCACTTTAAAACACAGGTTGAAGATAAAATTATGAAGAACTTTAAGACACTCAAGATAGTGACAACTGAACAATAAACAAAGTATGAGTACAAGGTAGCCCGGGGCAATAAAAGTCACACACCATAAAGTCACACAGGCTGGTTGTGAAACTCACACCTCCACACATGGATAGACGGGTTGCGTCTTAACAGGGGCAGTAAATTTCCTAAACAAAGGGGTTTGGCACAAGGATGGAATTTTCCTTTTTGGAAATGTTCCTTTTGTAAGGTTATCTAGGGTCTAAGAATCATCACAGAAAGGTAGCTCCTGCCCTAAAGACTCATCCATCTGATGAGCTTGTACTGCTCTTATTAGAACAACAGAATTACAGTATGTCAGAACTCAAAGAACCTCTTATTGTGCAGATGAGGAGACTTGAGGTCCAAAGAGAGAAAAGAATGCTCTCAAACTTTTGAGGGCTAAGGAACTCATCAGTTGTCCAGTTAGATGCTGTCTGTGACTCTCACTCAGCTCTGACTCTGCTGTCATAATATAACTTAGTATTGCTGACACTGAGTATTCCTTCTGTATTGCCCCACTGACCTTGATGTCTGTCTGACAGACACCTGGAGTACTTCCTGTGGGGTATTTTATGACATGCAAGAGGTTTTTGTGCTAGTTAAAAAGCAAGAAATGATGACAATTTGGACATGAGTGATGACAGGACAGCTACAGATAGGTAAATGGATTGAAAAGATATTTAGGAGGTAAAATTGACCAATGAGGGCAACAGATTAGATGTGAGAATTGTGAAAAAGAGGAATATGGAGATTAACCAATCTAAATTTCTAGCTTCTATAACTGGTTGGATGGTGGTGCCATTCACTGATGAAAGAAGTTAGGAAGAAATTAGCAGTGATGGAGGTATTGAGGATTCAGAGCTTAGTTCTAGGCAACTGGAGGTGACTTTGAATTTGACAAATTCCAATAGATGTCAGGTGGATGTCTTAGTAGGTACATGTTTTGTTTTTTTTTTAAAAGATTTATTTATTTGTACATACAGAACTGGGGTACAGGCCAGAGGCTCAGGGTCGGTGAGAGCCTTCACCAGAGACAGAGTGGGGAGCAGAACAGGCAGATCTACCAAGTACACTGCTGGGGGGAACAGCGGGAGGGTCAGGAGAGGTCTGCCATGCCATGTGGTCACCTACGGGGCATGCGGGAATCGAACTCATGTGGAAGTGGCTTTAGCTTCTCAGTGCAGTGCTTTAACCGGCTGCACCACCAGGGAGGGCCAAGTACGTGTTTGTTTAGATGGCCCTGGAACCCACAGGAATGATAGGAATTCTGGTGTGAACATGTGTGTCATAAGCGTAGAGGTGGTAATTGACACTGTCGGGGGTGGATGAGCTCTGTAAAGAATGGAAGATGGGGGCCCTCCCTGGTGGCGCAGTGGGTTAAAGCACAGCACTGAGAAGCTAAAGCCACTTTCGCATGAGTTCGATTCCCGCATGCCCCGGAGGTGACCACACGGTGTGGCAGACCTCTCCTGACCCGCCCACTGCTCCCCTCAGCAGTTTACTTCATTGATCTGCCTGTTCTGCTCCCCTCTCTGTCTCTGGTGAATCCTCTCACCCTCCACATTTCTGGCCTGTACCCCGGATCCATATGAATAAATAAATAAATCTTAAAAAAAAAAAAAAAGAATGGAAGATGAACAGAAGGTCTCAGACTAAGCCTTGAAGAACATTTGTTAGCCAAACAGAAAAACAAGCAAACAATCACAAGAACTGAAGAGATGATACCCAGCAACAGAAGGAAACCAGGAAGTCTCGGATTTTGAGGAGGTTCACAGTAAGAAAAAAACAAACATGGAGATTACTAGTTACCCTACAGAAAACTATTTTAATGGAATAGTGGGGGTGGAAGCGCATTAAAGAGAACAGGATTATAAGTAGGAGGTAAAGAAGTAGGGACAGTAAATATTAACAAGGGGTTGGGTTTTGAAAGGGAAAACCACCATGGAGAGGAGGATAGGATTTTGAGGAAGGATTTGCTTTTAAACTGGCAAGTTCTACCTCATAGAATTGCTGAGATGATTATGTCATGTAATCCACACAAAGGGTTAAGCCTTGTGCCTGGGACATAATAAGCATTCAAAAACATTAGCCTTAAAGAATAGGGTCAAGTAGTACCCCATTTTTTCATAACTGCAGGGCAACCTAATTTCAAACTTTCCATTAATCAACTTCACATCTTTCTAATTCTCACATTTCCTACCAGGTTATTGAAACCATTCAAAGAAATTTGCAGTGTTTAGCATATTAACCAACAGAAGATGGATAAAGATGTAACGATACTGATTTTTGACACAAAATTTATTTTTTATCTTCATAATAATTATTTTTAAATAATACTTATATATTATGGCCTCAGCCTACATAGTCAAAGGTATCCACCCTTTTTCCTCTGTTGGTTTAAAAACCAGACAACGCTATGATATGAGCGCCACCTGCTGCTGAGAAATGTAAAAGCACATTCATTTCACACAGTCCTAACATATAGACTTGGTTTCAGATTACTCATAGGTTGTTACATAGATGGTACATGAAACTTAGATGATACTTGTAACAGTTAAATATTTAAATACTTAAGAGGGTCTCCCTAGTGGCGGCAGGGGTTAAGTTTCAGCACTATGAAACTATGGACAGCCACTGCAGCAAGAGTTTCATCCCTGGCAAGGGAGCTGACACACATGGCCCAGCAAACCTCTCCTGCCTCCCCTGCTGCTCCCCTCAGCAGTGTATCTCAGTAGATCTGCCTGTTTTGCTCCCCACTCTATACTGGTGAATACTCTTACCCACTACTCTGGCCTGCACCACAGCTCTTATATGCAAAAATAAATAAAATAAATCTTAAATAGGAAATAAATAAAAACTTAAGTGTTGAAAAGTCTGTTAATTTTTTTTAATTTATTATAATAGCCTATTTTTACATAATTTTGTACACTTTTTCATCTTAATTGTAATCCCCGTGGGTTTCCCATCACCAAGTCACCCATGTGCCATCACCATAGTCCAACCCTCCCCCATTCCCCACTCCACCCCCATAAAATGTCTGTGGTATATGACTGTTCATTATTATTATGTTCTTGCCTGGTCAATTATACTCCTGCTATGAGCGAAACCATCTGGTATTCTTTTCTAGCTCCCTCCATGTTGCTTTTTTTTTTTTTTTCTGAGTAATATTCCATTGTGTATATGTACCACATCTTTTTACTCCAGTCATCTACTTTTGGGCATGTCTTTCCAATTGTAAATAGAGCAGCAGCAATAACCATGGGGGGTGCAGGTATCTTTCTGAATCAGTGTTTTTGTGTCTTTTGGGTAGATACCTAGGAGTAAGATTGCTGGGTCGTAGGGAAGCTCCATGTTTAGCAGTTTGAGGAACCTCCAGTTTTCCATAGTAATTGTAGTATTTTGTATTCCCACCAGCAGTGCAGGAGAGTTCCTTTTTCTCCACATCCTCGCCAACATTTGTTGTTGCTAGTTGTTTGAAGATGTGCCTGCCATTCTCACTGGGGTGAGGAGGTATCTCATTGTGGTTTTAATTTTCATCTCCCTTATTACGAGTGATGTTGAACATTTTTTCATATGCTTGTTGGCCATCTGCATTTCCTCTTTGGAGAAGTGTCTTTTTAGTTCTTCTGCCCATTTTTTGATGGGGTTGTTTACTTTATTTCTGCTAAGTTTCATCAGTTCTTCGTATATCTTTGTGATCAATCCTTTATCACTAGTTTTGTGTGAGAAAATTTTTTCCCAATCAGTGGGAT